ATGAAGCTATGAAAGACGGGCACAAGCATAGATTGTGGGAACCGGAAATATTTGGCCCTGTCCGATAGCTTTGCCTGGTAAATGCTCTAACAGTTTAGGTTACACTTGTGGTCTGGCGGTAATTTCTGGTACTAACATATACGTTGACCAGTATAATACGGATTATGCCTAAGCTGTAACATAAGTTTACCAAACCATAGGCATCCCATTACAAAAGCGAAGAAAAAATTAAGGCTGGCAAGCTGCAACAAAATCAAATAAATGTTAATAAACATAGAACCCACACTTTGTCCTCTGATACCAATTTCTGACGACGCTCGACATCTACCACTTTAAAGAAAAGCAGAATTCTGGCCTGTAACTACTTGTGAACAGAAGGCTAATAAAATTATTTTCAAGTGTCCGGTGGGAATACCAATTACATTTAAGCTATATTATAATTTAAGCAAAGTGGTACTGGTAAGTGCCGCAAGGACTCAAGGGGTTAAGAAGCACTGGTAGTATAGCAGAGTGATAACGCGCGTGCAGGTATACTGGGCTTGCGCTAGGTAGATATAGGCAGCATGTGCATTCACAGGCTTAAGGAACGCACGCTGGCAGGTAGGACAGGATTTAGGCGGTAGAATTCCGTGTTATTAACTATTGTTAAGATAGAGACCAAGTAGAAAATTCAGCATTTGTTCCTTCACTGCCTTTTTCAGCCCTCTCCAAGCAGTAAGGTGTAACCGATAGCGCGGTATATTTCTGTGTTGCCAGCTACCTATTTATGTCTGGGAATAACAATGAAGGGTTTCCAAGTAGCCGTATATACGCCGTATTTCATTAAGAGTGTAAATATATAAAGCAGTAGGCTATGAATGTGTGGCCGCCAAGTAACAGCAGTGTAGAAGGAAGATCATTAAAACCATTGTGTAATAACAGCTTGATTGATCTACGTACTTGGGTTATGGAACGTAAGTCGATGGTAATAACATTTGGCCAGTTGTGGGTTCGTATAGGCACAAGTTAGCAAGAGCACTTTGAGTTCAGTGAAAGCATCGCAGAAGTGGCTAGTAAGAGGCTCGGGTATTTCTATCGGCTTACGAACGACAGACTGATCAGCTAGTCTCAGAGAGGCGATGGACGTCGCTGTACCATTGCTCACATACGCCGGGTAACAGCTTGGTGAAGTGCTTGTATGTTTGGCGTTATGAGCAGTCTGTTCTTCAGTTAACATAAACATTACTTGGGAGTTTTGTCAGTCGGTTATGACTGTGTTCATTCGAATGCGTAAATAGCATCATAGGTCTTAGTGTAACTAGGACACAGATTTTAAACTTCATCAGCACCATACTTTCATAGCGTGAGCTCATCTTCAGTTTCGGTCTGTGACTGCTCGCTAGCGGAGCGAACACGTCTAAGTATTTTATTGAGATTATTGCATAAATGGCGCGTAATGGTATTTACATCATCAGCACGGAAAAGGTATCTTAGCTGGCTGATCGTACAAGCATAGGGAAGCTAACCTAGTTAATGCGGCTACATGTCCGATTCTCACCAAAAACCATTTGCGAAAATACGGGATGAGGTACTGAAACTACTTGAGAGCTAAACTACTTGGTGGTCACTGCCAAGGAGGATGTCTTTTTCACTAGCGACCGAATATGTGATGCTTAGCATAAGAGAGATGTAAACGACCTTGGCCCAGCCAACCTAACTCTCTGTGACTCTCACCTGAAGCGCACTACTGGACAAGATTAACCTTTTTTATTCTATTCCTCTTACAAGCTTAACATGTCTATTTCTCCCGATTCTCTCTGATAGCATTCTGGCTTCCTCCCCATAAGCGGACATTTTAGATTTGTCTCAATGATCCTATCTTTCTGACCGCGGAGGCTATACCGATGAATCAGCGACAGAACCAATTTTCTGTTCAAAACACCAAGAGACCATTGTTGACTTTTCACTTCTTCCCAATAGATTAATTTCCCTCCAGAACACATTCTTTTCTTTCCGCGCCCTCTGCGTACATTCCTTTTACAATTGGACAGAGGAGCCTTCCGGCTTAGCGCTAATTTATCTTTGTCTGCCTAGCCTCCTTCTTTCTATTGCTTCCAGACATCCGAGACATAAACGGTTTAGCGTCTGTAGTCATAACAACCTGTGACCCTCATCCTTCGTGCTTTGCCAGGCATGCTATCTACCTATTCCGGCGCAACGCTGTGCCGCCCTTACCTCAACAAAAGCGCTGGTCGTTATTCATCCTTCATGTTATTAACAAAGATGAATCATCGCCTGAAGAACGTTGTCGGATATTCTAATTCTCCTATAGAGAACCTGTATTACCGACCCTATCCTTTCCCTCCTGTTCTTTCTGTTACACTTCAACTTCATTCAAAGCTAACGCACAGGGATCCGTCCTCCCTGACTTTTTACATTCATACCAATTTAGCACTGAGGCAACGCGTCCATGCCGCTTCTTCTGGTTGTTGTTCTTTCCCATAATCTGTACTCCACCTCCCCTCTCTCTGGTTCCTACAGATGGGGCATATATGCATTAGAACCCTCAACCTCGCTTTGCTAGGACTTCATCCCTTATTTGGAAACAATCTTTCATTCTCTACTGATCCGGCTACTACGCGCTTCGCGTCGTATTTTTTCCACTTATGATACATGCGTATATGCGGTATTTAAATAACAATTACATGTAGGTAGGTACAATAGCTCAGTCATGGTTGTAATTGATCGCCTGCGTTCCAGATGCATTTCTTCGTCGGTCTGTGTGGCTGGCTCTGTTTGTGGCTTTTCCCCGAGTTTGTCACCGGTACGGTGACACGCACCCAAAGATCTGTCCATCGTTTGCGACAACAATACGTGGCACACAGTTTATTTATATAGACATTAGCGGAAGATTGTTAACCGATTTTACAACTTACTAACCGGACAAACCATTCGTTTATCTTGCACGGATCCCATTATTCCGAGGCTTGAAGCATTGGGTTCAGTGTGCCGAACACTATCTCTTTCCACCTATCCCTTTGCTAAGAGTACTCCTTTTGACATCGTAAGGCACATTCTCCTGCCGACACAAAGCAAGAACGATTGCTCATCCCGCGCTCTTCAATCCGCCTTTGGACCGCCCAATTGGCCGTGGTTTCCCATATTTCTAATCAATGTTACTACATACCCCGGAGCTCTGCGATTCTCTTTTCGGAATCATATCATATCCTTCAAGGCTTCAACCAAAATGCTACATATTTCACCGTACCTTCCTCGGAGAGTTCCCGTGGTGTTGCAGCTGATCAACAAATCACATTCAAAAAATTATTTAGTCTTGACCTACCAATCGGGCACAGCTATTCGTTCCAAAAACAGAGCAGGACCCAGGAACGCAACAGGCACACGCCTAACGCATCAGCCAGCGGAAAAGGTGGGACGCAACTTGACTGCAAAATAATCGAGCAAATAACGGTTCAATAAGAAACATAGCCAGTTACAACTTGCCATTCAATGGAGCGGCAGCAGTGTTTCAGGACGTGATGGGTTTTTTCGCCTGGCAAGCGTTCTCCTTATAAAAAGCCACAAATATCCGTTTAAAACAACACTGCAACTTGGCGAATGTGACTCGCCACCGGATAAAGTCACAGCCCATAACTTCACGCCAGCAGGTCAACTAGCTTCATCATACTGTCCAGGTTCATTACACTGGA